GAGTGTCAACCAGGTTTTTTGTGTTTTTTTTGGAGTGTCTTTGATTTAGGACCCATATCGTCTGCTGTTTTTTATCACTATTAGACCATAGTTAAGGATTTTGGAGAAGAACATCCAGAGAGAAGGTACCTACCCTTTTTTATCATGGCTCCAACTTTATTATTCGTGGGAAGGAATTCTTTGGCTCCTTCTGTTTGGGTTCTCCTCCAGGCAGAGGGAAGGGACACCCACGAAGCTGAAGGCAGTGTTTAGCCAGTGGACTTAGACCATGGCCTTGACAGAGAAGTGGCCAGAGGCAGGCAGAGTGGTACCTGCAACTCATCATGGGATGAACCGCAGGGGAAGGTGAGGAGGTTCCTCCAGGAGACCCCCGATGAGGCTAGAGCTCGGAGGAGCTGCAGGGGAGGGCTTGGCAGATGAACCTCTCTCTCAGCTAGACTGCTCAAAGGACCTTGCTAACAAAACCCCCAGCAAATACTGTACCCCACGAGCACTGCCAGCCTGAGTCTGGGGTTCAGAAGTTCTCAGATACATTCAGGCTGTGTCACTCACTGCATGTGCTGATGCAGCCAAAGACTGGGGACCCTGACATCCCTTGGGGCCTGCCCTTCATGCCTGGGTGGAGGAGTGGCTTGAAGTCTGGGGAGGCAGCCTCTGAGAAAGAAAGGCAGGGTCAGAACAGCATCCTCCAGGCACTGCTGTGCCATCAAGTGATGGTGTCTGGTGGCTCTATTTCCTGAACTGCCAGTGCTGTGACTGCAGATTGAGCTCTGCTTCTTTGCCTGTCCTCATGGTGGCTTCTTTTTTTTTTTTTTTTTTTTTTTTTTTTTTTTTTTGGTTTTTTGAGACAGGGTCTCACTATGTAGTTGAGATTGACCTGGAACTCACTATGTAGCCAGGCTGGTCTCGAACTCACAGCGATCCTCCTGCCTCAGCCTCCCGAGTGCTGGGATTACAGGTGTGAGCCACCACTCCCAGCTCATGGTGGCTTCTTTTGTCAGGAATCCAAAACCTGCACTGGCACAGGCACAGCTGGTGGCTTGGAAATAGACATGTAGGTGGGCAGAGCAGGGATTTTGTCTACACACTGGGTTACCTATCCCTCTAGTCCAAGCCATCCAGTTCCACCCTGTTTCTTCTCTCTCCTTTTCCTCAGGCCATGGAACTTGGGGTGCTACTGCAAGACCTTCCCATTCTAGACAATTCTCCAAGGCTCTGATTTGCCTCAGGAACTCTGGGGCAGTGGGGAGGTTGGGGAGGCTGGAAAACTAACCAGGGACTCACCAGGGGACAACTTTATTTATTTGTTTATTTAATTGGGTTTATTGGTACATTTTAGGGATACAGTACAGTTACATTCATTATTAGGCTCTTGTACCTCTACATGACAGGTCTTGGTTCTCATTTTTTCCCCTTGTCCCTGCCCTCCCTTCACCCCCTCCTCCCCTCTCCATTTACAAACACTTTATTTACATTTTTTTTCATTTTCAGGGGACAACTTTAAATACAGTGCTTTTCACTGTAAGCCTGTTTTCCTCATTTGTAAAATAATAGGTCAGGGTTATTTATTTATTTTCTGTGGTATTAATTTATTTATATTTTTCTGCAGTTCTGGGAATAGAGCCCAGGCCTGGTACATGCTAAACACATACTGTACCTATGAGCTGTGTCCTCAGTCCTCACCCTTTTAAAATTTTATATTAGTTGTGTTAATTTTTAATTAATTTTCTATAGGTTACATATGATTCATATTTGATAATCTATTAATAACAATCCTGGACAAAAATTGCCCATAAGCTGAATACAGTGGCACACACCTGTAATTGTAATCCCAGCTACTCGGGAGGCTGAAGCAAGCAGATCACAGTTCAAAGCCAGCCAGGGCAGCCCAGTGAGACCCTGTCTCAAAATAAAAAATAAAAAACGTTGGAGTATAGCCCAGTGCAAGACCTCAACACCAAAAAATTTTTTCCTCATGATCCCATCGTGGAACATCAATATTTGTATTAGTTTCTGGCACTTTTTAGTCTTTTCTCTAGGTACATTCAATTTTAATGAATTTACAATGTATATTAGCTTTTTGTCACTGTGACCCAAATGTTTAACATACACAACTTGAAGGAGGAGAGGTTTATTTTGGCTCATGGTTTCAGAGGTTTCTGTCTATGGTGGAATCTAAGGCACAAATGTGGTGGCAGAAGAAAAGTGCTAAAGCCATGGCATCTGCAAAGCAGGGAACAGGAAAGGGCTAGAACCCAGATACAGAGCCCAAGGTCGCTCCCCTATGACTTGCTTCCTCCATTTAACCCCCATCTCCTAGTAGCCCATTCGTCAGTTTGCCAGTGGGTTCACCTACTGATGAGATTACTCATTGCCTTCACAATCCAATCCCACCAAGAGTTTTAATCCAATCAATCTGGTAATCAAGATTAAAAAGCTAGTAAGCATGAGGGATTTAGCTCAGTGGCACAGTGCCTGCCTCAGCACAAGATCCTGAGTTCAATCCCTGGTACAAAAAAAAAAAAAAAAAAGCAAATAGTAATATCATAAATGTGAAACATTTTCAGTCATCATTTTACCAAATACTTTTTCCCTTTCCTACATCTACTCTTTTTCCCTACTCTCAGCCTGCTATGGTACCAAAGTTAAGACTTAGTTTGCATTCATAAAATATAGTGCATTCATAAAATACATGTGTCTAGAACTTGCATTTGCATTTGGTGCAGAGGGATTATGTTTGTCTTACAAAACTAGGACCATAATGTACACATTTCTCTGTAAATTGCTTTTTTCATTTAGTCATGTTGTGGAAATCCATCCAGGCCAAGAGATACAATGAAAACTGACTCTTGTTGAATGGTATATAATTCTAAGGTATGGGTATCAAAATTTATTCAACCATTCTGTGGTAGATGGTGACCCAGGTAGTTTCTGGTTGTCCCCTCCCACCACCAAAAACAATGCTGCCTTAAATATTTTGAATAAATAACTTATAAACCAGTACATCCATTTCTACACGTATACAATTTCAGAAGTGGAACTGCTATATCAGAAATCATGTTGCCTTTTTAATTCTCAAAAAGAATGGCAAAAATTTGCATCTAGGGCCAGTGATTTAGCTCAGTGGTTCTGACATGTGCCTTGCAAGCATAAGGACAAAATTCAATCTCCAGTACCAAAAAAATTTAAAAAATAATAAATAAATTTTTAAAATTGCATCTACACAGGTAGTGCCTGAGAGTAATTCTCTCTCCCACATCCTCACCAGCACTTATACTTAGCAGCCTTTTTAATGTTTGCCAGTCTGATGGGTGAATAATAGCATCTCAGTACTACTTTAATTTGTATTTTTCTGTTTACTAGTAATGCAAGATATTTTTCTATGTATTTACTAGTTCTTTGGATCGCCTCGTCTGGCCATAGCTATTCACAGTCTGCCTATTCTTTCTTCTGGGTTTATCTTTATATTAGGAATGTGTTAGAGTTCAAGGTCAGAAGGGTATTATCTTGCCTTCTGTCATATGTGGTGCAAATGTATTTTCCCAGCCTATCATTTGTTTTTTGACTTATAAGTGTATTTTATAAAATTTTTTCATTTTATATAGATATATATGTATATTTTTTAATCCGTGGCTTTGCAGTTTTCTGTTTTGTTTTTAAAATCTCCAAAACTCATAAGCTATTTTCCTAAGTTTTCTTTGGAATTTTTTTTCTCATTTGAACATATATTGTCTTGGCCTTTATTTTCATCAAATTAAGGTAAGCGCCAATATCAACTTCTATGAGGATAGCTAACCCCAGCATTTTCAGTCTGTACTTTTGGAATCTAAAAGCTCCCAAAATGGACCAAGGAGGTGGCTCAGATATCTGGGAAGAGACGGTAGACTTCCCACCCCACAACCATGGAGCTGTTCTGGGTTTGTTTCACCAAATGGGGTTCTAGTAAAGATTTGGTTTGGACAAGTGTTCTTAGCTCAGACTAACAAAGTCTGAAAACCTTTTCATATAATCTGTGGGGCCTTTCCAGTTCTGACATTCTCTGGCACCATAATGCCGAGGATGGGGACCAGTCAGTAAGAGAGAGTAGGTGACAGATCAGTGTAACTCCATCCAAAGGTGACTGCAGTATTAACTCCCAGGTTGGCTCCATGTGGATATCAGAATGACAGCATTTTGGAGTGAGAAGGGACCTTGGAAATCTAGTCTAGTGTTTCTGGATCCTGGGTCCCTTTTAGAATCACGGGTAAATACATAAAAAGTTCTGGTGCCACGGACCCTGCCAGACCGTACAATTTAGAGTCCTTGGGGATAGAATGCAGTGGTATTTTAAGCAATCTTCTGGTGATTCTAATATGCAGTCAGTGTCAAGAAGCACTTCTCTAGTTCAACTCTGTGATTTCAATAGTAAATAAATTGACCTCTCCAATAAACTGTGTATCACATCACTGGCCATCTGTAGAGCTTGTCCTGGAACCCAAATTCCTGCTTCTTGGGTTGGCTTCCTCTTTTATATCAAACCATTCTTTCATCAAATACCATGCCTTGGAGTCTCAGCTGACAAGACAATAGGCTCCATCTCAATGCTTTGTGTCTTTGCATCTGATCAGTTTAAAGGTGTTTAATGCGTGCAGGTCTTGGAGGGCCTGAGCAGGGAACAGAGTCATAAAGAGTTAGGAGAAGTGATAGAGAAGTACAAATGGTAAATCGTCCAGTAGGAGCCGCCTACAGTGATGAGAGTGCAGAAGTGGGGAGCCTGGGTTGGCCGCAGAAGTTCCCTGCAGGAGGTGGCATTTAACTTGGGCCTACAGATGATTGAGACTTGGCTAGATATGACCCTAATGCTGCTCACTTTCCTATAGCTGTGTTTGGCCACCCATGTCACACAGGGGCTCACGTGGTAGAGAAGGGGCAGCAATTGGTGAGACAAGAATGCCTCAGTTTGGGGCAGAGCTGGCCCAGTCTGGTTTACTACACTCTGGCCTTCTTTCTTCCGCCCACAGGAATGAGACCGTGCTGCACCAGTTCTGCTGCCCTGCTGCCGACGCCGAGCAGAAGCCTGCCTGCTCCGACCTGGCCTCCCAGAGGTGGGACCCGGGGCCCCTTCCTCCTTACTTCCTCCCCCGACCTTCCCTCCTCTCAGCACACGGCTCCGGGGCCTCCTCTGGAGTCTGCTGTGGTTTTGTTTTTCATCTCCTTCACCTTGTCTATGGCCATTCCACCCTGAATGTGCCCAATCTTGTCATCTCCTTCCGCTCTTTCCATCTCTCTTTCCTTCCTCAGGACCCAGAAGAGCCATTCCTGACACTTACAGCCCTCAGGCCCTGTCATTCAAAACCCAAACCCATGCTTCTTCCTTCTAAAGGACTGGCATAAAATACAATTTTGATAAACGCCAAGAGGGGTGAGTTTGATAATGCTCACGTCACATGGTAGAATGTTTGCGCTCAGTGAACGCCAGACCTTCCTCTTACAGAGAAATTTTCTGTTTTCCTTTCTAACTTTCTCCTCCTGTAAAGGAGCCAGGATTTCTCCTCTCTGGCTGAGTTGGCTGACACCTGGGAAGAAGAGGGGTTGTTGACAGGAAGGGCCTGGTATCCTTGTTCTGGGTCATGCCTACCCCTTCTGTCTCCTTTCCTTGCAAACCCTCTCCTCTGTGCCACTGCCGACTCTGTTGGTGCCCCTTTCTGTGTCCTGCCCTGTGTTTCTCCATTTCTCCCCCTCCTTGCCCACGCGAAGTCCCCATGTTTGCACCTCCATCTGCTCTCTGTCTCTTTGTTCTCTTCTGTTTCCCACCAACTTTTTGGCCTCACTTCTGCACATTTTTCTTTTCTTGACCTGTCCTTTTCCTCATTTGGATTCTGGCCCGAATGGGCCCTCTCTCCAGTCTCCCCATGTGAGAATGAATTGAGTCAATTTACATAATTCCCCAGGCCTCAGTTGACTTATCTGAAGAGTGGGGGATTGGTCTGTCTAGAAAGTAGCTTCTACATATAATCTCATGAACTTTCAGTGCCTCAGTGGGGCCAGACGAGGCAGGTGATTATCCTTGTCTTATGTGAGAGAAGGTTGTGGGTCCAAAGACTCAGGACTGTCTGTGGTCACACAGTAAATAGCAATGCCTGCACTTGAACTTGTGGCATTTTGCTCCCGGTGCTCACCATTTTTATGTTTAAGATTTAGCTATTCTATGATATTTTTCCTTTTAGTCCTTAGAAAGTAACTATATAGTTATCAGAGGTGGTGGCTGTTGACCTAGGGGTAAAGAAAAGCACCCTGGAAGGCACTGCTAATTGATTTCCCTTGAGAAGAGATCAGCAGAGGCCAGAGGAGGAGGAGGTAGGACTCTGAGGTGGAGACTTTGGGGAGAAGGCACACCTTGAGGTCCTTCAATCCAGGGCTCAGGGAGGCATGGGAGCTCCCCACTGGTAGTCAGGTGCTGCATTGATATTTTGGGTGGTCTTCATGCCAAGTTTTGGGCCCTGCCCTGGGACTGGAGATAAGGTCCACCTGGAGCCATGGCAATTCCCCATCTAGCGGTACATTAGGGTACCCCCAAACGGAAAACAGCTCACCTGGAAATTAGAAGGAAGAAGGAAATGAGAGAGATAGTAGAAGAGAAGAAGAGAGATAGTAGAGAGTAGAAGAGAAAAGGAAAGAGTCCAGCTTCAGGAAGCATAAGGATGACAGAGGAGGAGGAGGAGACAGAAGGGCCCTGCCTCCTTCCTATGACACAGCCTGAGTCTCCTTCCTACAAACGGCCTTCCTTGGCAGGGGACAGGTTTGCCTGCCACCCCACACTTCAGCTCACCTTCCTGAGACTGCTAGGGGTGCTACCCAAGAGCAGGCTGTGGTGCTGTTGGCTAACTCACCCTCAGGAAGCCCAGGCCTGGTGGGCACAGGTCACAGGGGTCTTCTTTGGGTCTGCCATACTCCTGTTTCTTTCCCATCCCTCATCTTCCTCCACATGACAGCTCTCCTCCGCCTGCATGCCCTCCCTGCCTCAGGTGGGAAGGGGTGGGAGGAGGTGGTGTACCCCCAGAGCATCTGAGAAGGTAGGTTATGAGGGCACAGGGAGGGCTCTGGGGAGGGACCTTAATGGGGGCCAGGGCTCCAAAGGACTCAGATTGTTTCCAAATTTTGGGGTGGATGCCACGAAATCCATTATCTTAGTTCTCCAAATGTCTGTCATTTGTCTTCCCCTTGGAGGTGCAGGCACCGAGGCTGGGGGCTGAAAGTGCTATAGGGAGGGAGGTGGGAGGTGGGAGAGTTTCTGTAATGCTCATGGAGGGGCCTGTAAGTCCTGGCCATTCCAACTGTCTGTGCAGGGTAGGGAGATTGGTCTCCAAGAGGCCCAGAGCTTCAGCTGCTGCTTGTCTCTAGTTCCTGTTTTTCAAGTCATCCTGTCTGTGTGGTTTGTAGTTTCCTAGAGCCTGCTTGTCTGTCCGTTTGTCTGTCTGATGTCGGTGTCCTGGCTTCTCTGGGAGAGTTTTCTGGACAGCCCAACAGGGCATGTGTCAATTGGTCTGGGTTCTTAGCTTCCCAGGTTATTGGGTCCTAAGTTTTCTCCCACCAGACTCTCAACATCCCTGCTCCCAATCTTTCCATGACCCCTTCCCAACCCCTGTCACTTTCCCTGAACAGGTGTCCCGCCTCTAGAGAGGTGGCCCAGACTTCTCAGGGAGTCATCTAAGGAGCAGGTGCCAAGATCAAAGCCCAGGCCAAGGACCCAGCACAGGAGCCCTCTGGGCCCCTCTGGTGCTGTGAGGCAAGTCCTGCTCCCCCTACTGGTCAGACACTAGCCCAGTCCTCTGAGGACTTCCAGGGATAAGCCAGTCAGTCTCCACAGGCAACCCAGTAGGGAATCAGACCTAATCAGTTCATCTCCAGGTCTTTGGTGTGTGGATGCAGCCAGCTATGGGAGTTCCCTGCCTCTGCTCTCTGGCTGAAGCCAAGGTCCACACAAGTGTACACTGTGTCTGTCCCTCCCTGGCCCACCCCAAGCTGCCAAGCTGAGTAAATGTCCCTTTCCTAGGTCTCTGAGAGCTACCATAGCAGCTCACCTACCCGGTCAGCTGTTTTAGCCTAGCCAACCCTCAGCCAGAGGAACTCTGCTGTGTCCCGGAGACTCTGGGGCCTGAGAGATTCTCACAAGCTCCTAAAGAGACACAGAAGCCTCAGTCCTGGAGGTTAGGACAGACTTACTGGGAACTGGGACTGCCTTCTCCAGCACCTGCAGAGGAGCCTGCCAGGGAGCATTGTGGCCCAGAGTGGGAAGACCTAAATGGGGAAAGTCTGGAAGCTTCTGGTGTCTGTGGTGGGGTAGGGGGCTCAGCGAGTTGCATACAATGGATCAGCTGGGAGCTGGTGAAGGCTCTGAGACTGGATGACCAGGCAGGATTATCATGGGCTTCAGTGGGCTCGATCCCCACACAGGCCTGGGCAGTCACCCCCATACCTGCCAGGGTAATTGGCCCTCAGGTGGGGTGGGAGGAGGTGGAGCCCCTGCAGCCCTGTGCCAGGCTCTTCGCAGAGGGTGAGGAGCTCATGTTGTCCCCTCCCTGCTGTTAGCTCATGGCAAGGCTTTATGCTGGGGAGCTGAATAGGCTCATAATTGCAGTCCTGCTTTGGTCTCACTGGTTCCCTCCCTTCTAGGCTCTCAATCACATTGGAAACAATGACCCTAGAGCTGGCCAGCTGCCTCCCAGGTCGAGCAGAATTGCAGCCCATTTGTCTCTGTGGGTGGTAATGGGGCTGAGAGGAGGAAGATTGGCTTCTACTAGAGTAACGGGAAGAGGCGGCAGAAGAAAGGGGTGGGCAGGGGAGGAAACGGAGCAGACCCTAGTCCTGGGCAGCGAATGGAGAAGGCACCTGAGTGGTGGGGGTGGCGCTCTGAGTCCCAGCAGCTTGACTGATCCCTTCCTTCTGATTCATTTCTTCCTTTTCATTCACTCACTCTTGCACCAGGACAGAACAGACACTCGTATGTACTGACCATGCCAGGGACACTGCCCCACGGTCTGTGAGATAGAGGCGCTGCCCATGTACAGAGGAGGAATCTGGGCTAAAGAGAAGTTGGAGAATGACAAGGGAACCGCTACCATACAGACCTGGAGCTGGAAGCCAGACCTAAGTCCAGCTCCAGAATGTAGCCTCTTTCTTTGGAGCTGCTGCTGCTGGGAGGTTTTAGGGGTTTTTGTTTTTCTCAAGAGAAATCTTGCTAGCCCTTTCATTCGGTCTTAAACAACATCTGTTTCTTCTGATTATAAGCTATGCATGCCAGTTGTTGGAAATATGGAAAACACAGAAATCTGAAGAGGAAAATAAAAATTGAATCCAATCATAGAATTAATTACTATTCATAGTTGAGTGTGCAAGCTTCCAGTATTTTACTTTTCTGTGCATTGAGTTTTACATTTTCCCACCATAAAAAATTTTTGTAGCCTAGATTTCCCAACTAGTATGTTGTCAGCTTAGAGAGCCCCCATCCCTGTCACTCCTGGGCCCCACACTGCCCGGGACACACACATGGTGCTGCCACCTGTTACCCAGTGGCAAAGTGGGGTCTGCAGAGTTCCTCCGGGCTTGACAGGAAGCTGCATGGCAGGGGCACCCTTCCCAGAACAGCTGTGGGAGACAGCTCTGCCTTTGTGTACCTTAGCTTGAGCAGAAATCCATCCCTCTCTTACCTGACCCCACTGGCTGGGATGAGCCTGGAGTTCAATCAGTGGACCAGTCAGTGTTTAATCAGTGATTACAGAACAATTAAATTCTTAATCGATACAGTTTAGTTCTCAACAGCTGGGCTGAGGTACTTTTCTGTACCATGTGCCTGCTCTAGTAGTCACTCTGGGTTCAGAGGCTGCTGGGAAACCTGCGCTGCTCCCTGGTGGAGAACAGCCACCCGGGTGGCTCTGGGACACATAGCACTGCATGTCTTCCTTAGAGAAGTAGGAAATGTCCCTGCTTCCCAAAAAGACCTGGCCCACACCTCTGGGGTCTCTGCACACGTGAATGGAGAAGACAGTAGGTGGCAGGGGAGGCTGAGGAAGAGCTTGTCTCCTGTAGGGGGCAGAAATGGTTAGGC